CGTCAGCTTTCAATAATGCTGCGTACAGCACTGGTCTTTTTGGACAGAAGACAGGTTTAGCTTCAGGTTTCAACCGAAGTGTTGCTTCCATAGTACTGCGCTGACACAACACAGGCTGTAAAAGGTTGAAAATTCCGTCATTAGTTCTTTCGAATATGCTTCAGGTTCATGAGGTTTCACCAGATGTCATACGGTGCTTAACGGAACGTCAGCTGAACGTAGCCGGTCAAACCAGTCTAAACCAAGCACATTAAGATCAATTGGTGTGATGTAACATACCCCGGCAAAGGCCGGGTCATGAAAAGAAACTTTACAATCCAGTTGTCCCAACAAACGTAGATAATTACCCCATGCATTTAGAGGTTTCTTTGTTGTTGGCACCGTGCGTGGTCTTCCCATTTTTACCCAATATTTTTGTGAGAGAATTGTTTCGTCAGATGCAGTGTCCATTCTCAACCTAAACGGGCGCCCATTAATATATTAAGGGTAATACATTTCTACCCACCTAGGGTTGAGTTCTGACAGCTTGGCATTAGACTCAACGAATTCGTGTTGGATCTAGGCGTAGGCTTTCTGGTACCTCTGAAGCTGCTTGGCTTCATTTTTCGACAAAAACCATCTTTATGACCCATCGCATTACATTTCCTGCACCGATGTTGTTTATATGGACAGCTTCGAATAAAATGTCATGCACCTCAGTACCAACATGGGGCAGGAGGATGTGTTTTTGTCTGTTGACCTGAACCAGATGTCGCTGGGGCAGGCTTAAGCGGGTTAGGTGGTTGTTGGACCACATGAACTTCAGTATGATCTGAACCACCACGCTGGACCGTCGCAGGGTCACGCTGTAGATTGATTAGACATTGATGTTTGTTTTCAATATCATTAAGAGTTAGTTTTGGGTCATGGTTCAATCGACTTAGCAAGAGTGTCCTAATTTCACTGAACTTCTGCGATTGGAGGCTGCAGATGATAATGAGAGCCTTAAATTGGTCTTCCGTAAGCGACTTCAACCGGAAGCATTCGCATTCTCGGTTGACGATACCCACATGTGTAAGAAAATCAGCATCTTCGTTCATAGTGAGCTTCAAACATACTGAAGAGTTGTCTCAATGACTGAACAGTGTTCGAGAATGGGCGATCGCATGGGTTTAGGGCAGAATTAGGTTGCAATACCTGCCTAGCTCACTAGGACCGAAGTAGCAGCTGAACCTTCCAAGCATTATATTGGTAAGCGAAATAAAATTTCAATAGGACTTCATAACACATGTCAAAAGTAACGTTGGAGTCAGGATCATAATGGCACTTAGTAATGCTATTTCGATGTCATCTACTGATTGTGCTGTAGTTGCATTAGATGTGCTAGGCTGTGTGGGAGGCAAAATGTTGATATCTGCCAACATTTGCATTAGTTTCAATTGCTGCTCGAGTAATAATTCAAGTTTGCAAGGATTCGTGTATCCGAAACCACCACCGCCAAATTTGCTAGGTCTGAAGCTATTACGAGTTTACTTAGTATACGAACAAAACAAAGACTTGTGACCGTCGACCAATAAGCTAGCTATTTGATGCGTCCCAGCCCCGCTAACTGGAGGAAGAAGTCCAGGTTTGGAACGGGAAAGTATCTTCCGTAAGCCAGAAGCACGAGTGAATAATAACAGACACAACTCAAACGTATATAGAGCATAAAACTCTCATTGGGAAGCGTTGCAAAAATAGTATACTGAAAGTACACAACGGACCAGTAACATTGAAGATTCTCCCAATCGGGAGATACGACATGAAGTTGTAAACAGGCACTTTTGGCGCGAAAACAAGGAAATTTAAACTTCCAAAACAAAATTATAAAATTAAGGCATTTACCAAGTGAGTTCTGGAGATCTAACATCCCAAGCACGCTCTGACACGTTTTTTGAATCCCTTGAAGTTAATGCTATTAAGGTTTCTCTAACAAAAACAGAGTCGATGGTCATTTGTCTCAGTCTCATTGTTTCCTCTGTTCATGTTTTGTGGTTTTGGAGGAAAGTTCGTAGAATTACGGTCTAAATCACTATAACAACAGATTCAATCCTGAAACTGTACTTTCGTCATGATGTGACTATCTTATCTATGAGGTCTTATGCGGTAGTCCCACTATTGTATACCTTGACTCATCGTCTCGTAAGAATGAGCACTATAACATCTAGCGCTTTTGAAGATCACATTTGAGCTTAAGAATAGTATATATGCTCTCGGTGGGGACAAGTTAAACAAATCGACCACCTCTAGGAGGCTGGCCCATGTCATCCGATCTATTTCAAGGGAATATTCCCACGTTCAACTTTTTAAACTTTAACTTGAAGTTACATGCTGAAAGTGAACCTCCTCGGTAATTATATGTTCAGCTCCGAATATGGTGTGGTTGTAAACCAATACAACGAAAAGTTTTCCATCTATATTACTGCATTAAGTGGCTGCATCCCTTTGGCATCGCTCGGCATTAACACCTGCGACTTTTTGATTCTTACATTTGACCTATTATTATTTACGGCCCTCCATCATTATGTTTTCGGAATTTCGAAAAAGGATTTTACGAGGTTATGATTAGTACAGTTGTGGATAGGCATTTGTTATCAGATACTAGCTTTACATTTTTTCCAAATGTTTTTCCTTGCATATCTTCTGGTAGAACTCGACGACAATGCATTATTATCCATACACGGAAGCCAAAATACAAAAGCTCTGCAGTGCCTTATCTAGCAAATATAATACAAGACGAATAGGTTGTTGAGGCTGAGTTGGTCAAATACTTATTTTTTTAGACATAAACCAGTACAGATTCATATCTTATGGAAAATCATTTCGTTCAGATCTAGCTAGTTCATTTATTTAATTTGTGTATATATAAGTGCGGTTATCTGTTTTCTTTTTCTGCGAAATAAACTTGTTGGAATACTTTGGGGTGAGAGTTCTATGTAGTACTACACATTTATTATTGAATAAACGCATGAACATTAGTGATATTGTGTACTTAGACCAACGGTCTTGGCGTCTAATCATATTTTGGGAAATTACCAAGGCAGTTCCAAATTTTCTGTTTATTATTTTTTTATTATATTATTAATGACTTTATTCAATATTATATTTTGGTACAATATAGAATTCTCAGCAGCGAATTCGAAATGTGAACACTGCCGAAGGTTATATTTTCCAGTACACATAGAGGAGATGAGATTACCATACGTATAGGAATCGAATTGCTAGTTGGTGACAGTAAACCATGATTTATGCATGATGGCGCGCTCTCTAGTGTGGGAGTCACTGGGATGTTTCATGTGTCATGATGATTTTGTTGACATTTTATTACTAAGAGATCGATATTACGTGGCATTATATATTGCACACCGTCAGCTAATATTTTTGAAAATTGAATTTCGCAATTAAACAAACCGCGAGGATTACAAAATTTTGGGCAGTCACCAAACCTAACATATGTAATGGGTTATGCTACCTCCTAGAGAAAATTGTAGTTCATTTTCCTCATCTATGTTCCATGAACTGTTCCGTTTCCTTTAGTTTTTAATACTCTTGTTGTTGATTTTCTGAAAGGCCTGAACATTCTTCATTCATGGTGCGAATGTTATTTTACGTAGGGTAGAATAAATGCTTCATGGTTTATCTAAGCAAAGTGCTGATGAGTTAACTATTCCGTAGGTTTCGGAGTCCCCTTCAAAATAAGTTAGTTGACTGTTTAATAAGAAATTTGTTGGTTTCTCGCTCCTGCCCGTATTCTTGTTGCTTAAGGCAGGGTTATTGTCCTCAGTCACACTTTCCACCTTCCGTTCTCTATATGAGCTTATAATAGACCTACAGGCTCACTTTAATTCTTGGAGTTATATTGTGAACATAGTCTTAAAGAACTGCTATCCTCTTTAGAATCTTTAGGCTATGAGATTTAGTTTCATCTGGAACGATAGTTTGTTAAGCAAGATTGACAGATTTTCAAAAATTCAGTTACGGAGTCGCTTAGGTTTCAGAGAGTGCAGGAGCATCTGAACTCGATCTACCTCCTTGGTCGTATTTATGAATATGAGATGACTGTAAATTCCAAAGTACTTGAATGTAACTGAATTGTTTTATTCCTTGTTCGAAATTCGGAAAGACATTTAAAATTTCTCATCGAGCCATCATCGATTGCAATGGCCTGAGTACAATACTTTGCCTGGGTTACTCTTAAAGGAAAATGAGTAGGCATGGAATTCATGTTTGAAAATAATATTACCGATCCTGAACTATTCACAAGAATCATAATATCTAACAACAGAAAACTAATACTTTTTTGCAAATTTTACGAAACAAGAACTTGATTTATCTTACACCAAAAACCTCATTTTCCTATACACATGGAACAGTCTTTGAGAGATGATAACTGAATATCTTTTGCACTTCAAACTGTGAAACAGTCCATGTGAGTCACGTTTCAGGCTACAGGTAAAACTTGGGCAACAATTTGGAACATATCCAATGACGAGACAAGAAATCAGATCGGGACTCGAATTCAAGCCTTATGAAGAGCGCCTCTAGTCACTAAACCTTTACATATTGGAGTACAGGCGTCTTAAAAGTGACCTAAAGGCTTACAGAGTCTCAAATATTTCCGGATATCCTCTTAAGCAACTACTTAAGCTTATTCTTAACACAAACCTTAGGGGTAACACCCAGAAACCGGAGCCACATTACAGCAGAACGGACTGTAGACACAACCCCTACTCCTTAAGAATTGTTAAATTCTGGAATTCGCTGCTAGCTGGGCTCGCACAAACGACTTCATATGAGTTCTTTAATAGAAAGCTTGACATGTTCTTGGAGACTAAATATAGTATGTTATTATGATTTATCAATCTTTTTATTCTCTTCCCTCTTTTATAGATAATATAGCTAGGTTCCTGCCTGGAAGTATTGGTGATTTAATGCTTCTAGATGCGGAAGCTCGTCAAGCGAAAGCTCCTTCTATTCCGTCCAAAACTATTTGCATGAGACAATCTATTCATCTTTGATGGGCATTTTGGTTCCACATAACGACATTGTGTTACAAAAATAAGAGGTTCGTTACAGGGTGACGATAAGATACTGAGTACCGTAAAGTAGCGTGATAACTTCTGTGGTGAAGAAATTTAAAATCTCGAGGTCATCTCCGGCCCATCGTATCCGTGCTTTTGATTGAATCTCCCTTTCAATTCCAAGGGTTTTCTGACTTCATCTAACATCCCATTCAATTTTAGCAAAAATGAGAGGTAATTTAACACAATTTTTTGTTGTTACTAATTAAAGCTGTAATCGATAAATGATTAACGCTGAATATCCACTTATTAGTTATTTGACCACAAACATTGGTACAAGGAGGCATCAAATATATATGCGCCATACAATTCCAATAGTTTGTGTGAGGGCTGGGACAGTTCCTGGGCGTCCAAACTGAAGCAAGTGGTTCAGTTAAGGGGCCGCACTCTTGTCTAATCTTTTGCCATGCCACCATGTGGCAATTTTCAGCTATTCAAGTCGTTAAACATTTTTGGTTCTAATTTACTGTCATTACGAGTAGCCTTATTATTAAATCCTCCGTATTCTTATACCCTCTTCATATTTTTTACCATTTAGTGTTGTTGCTACCATCATTATGACAACTTTATAGCTGTCTTTTGATAATGTTCATTACCTTCGTCATCCTGTGTATAATAATCTTGACAATCTACATGTTTCTCGTACTCAAATACCTCACATTCTCTCGAAAATCACATTTGTTTACAAATCGAATTTGTGTGAATACGGACATTATTTGGGATTACTTTAAACTGAAGATAAAACTGACACATCTCACTACATGGTAAAGTACTCAACTATACAAATCACTGCAGTTAAGGAAGAGTTCACACTCACCAAACTAAATGAATACAGTTTGTCGCACGGTGTTTGTTGCTTTTCCCTTCCAAAGATTATTGGCCTTTTTAGGTTGGGGCCGGCTAAGCTAGAGGAAAAGGTTAACACTGTCTTACATTATGCAATTTTCAAAATTTACACTATTTTTCAGGTTTTCTAGACTAACTAGCTAATCTAAAAGCATTAATATTGATATGGTCTTGAGCTTATAATTAACTTCGGTCGTACGATTGTCTTGTTTTATATTTAAAAAAATAGGCAAACGTATGCACAAAGGTAGAACCCGAAAGTTTACTGCCCCGGAAGAAATTGATCGTCAACTTGGAGTAAGTTATACAAAATTTTGGAAGTTGGCCATCAAGTTTTGTCTCTAGAATTCTATTTTTAAAGCAGATTTGACCATAAATCTGGGTGTTATGTCGTTTTCGAGACTGGCTCTTCACACATTATATGGCGAGCAAGGTTTATACACCACGTTATTGATTACAATATTTGTTCTGTGTGAACGAAGTACATGGTTAGAGCGGAATACAAATATATAATTAATCGTGTGCTGTCACTTACACTCTGGGTCAGTCTGTAGTATAAACTGTAAATCCAAAAATCTCCAGGCTACCGGCACTAATAATAATCATACGCTTATCAGTAACTAACAATGGGCCATTTAGATGTAGGTCGAATGCTAAGTGAAGTGCTGACAGGCTCACGCTATCGGTCAAGCTCTGGTTTCATTTTCTAAGAAAAGGGACACTGTATTGATTGGAAATGCAGCGTTGTCTTCTGAAGAGGATAGACATAAATTAGGTATACACATGTTTCCGATTCAATTTAACAAATAAAAGCTCCCTACTCATTTTCGGTTTTCGCACTCAAGTAGCCCGTTGGGTTTTCGTATAAGAAACGTGTATATTGGTATCAGACTCTGTCGATGGCAGAACATAACATTAACTAAATTCGAGAGGCAGTTACTGAGGTTATAGCGGAAGTCCATAATTAGTAGAGTTCAACCGTGTTTGGAGGAGGTCAATTAACCATTAATGGCGGTGGATGATTTTCGCTCAATATCACATTAGGTGAATGAAGTTAGATGTAAAACATTAGGTCTTAACTCAGCGATTGGGAGATTCAGCGCTCGCCACTAAGCATCAAGGCACGAGGTTTGTTCCATAACTTAGTCTCATCATTCACACTATAGAGGAGTCTCATACTAGGAAAAAATAGCTATTCGGCACTTCCAATCTACATACAGTTAATCTGTGGTCTGAACTGCAAGAGTCCTTTTTTTCGAACTGATTGTTTCCAACTTTTGCTTACAGATATTATCATAAAATTTGCATTTATGGCACATCATTCAACGCTTATTATCATATTGGTCGATTTACTTTTTTAGTTATCTAAAGAAGCTGAATCATCTCTCCATAAAACAATTCATGACAAGAATATTGACGATACTGAAACGGATGATGATGATGAGGAGGAGGAGGAGGATGAAGATGATGACGATGAGCAAGACACAACTGAACGTCATAAGGGTGTTAGTCATTTGATTGAAGTTTGCAATCCTAATCATGTAAAATCTTCCAAAACAGTTGTGTAAGTTATTCTAATCAATTGATGTTTTGATAGTGTAATGGTGATTTCGGTTGATATTTTTTGAGCCTCGTCTCTAAAGATATTGATTCTAATGTAATAGTATGTGCTATGCATTTAATACCGAACAGGCCCCCAAATGTGCTGGTACGGCCGAAAGTGGGGAGTGTCAGCTCGCCCTCTTGAAATGCTCTCATATGGCCACGTGCATACAACCACTGTCAGGGAAGTCCTACTCACTGCCTTCTCGCGGCAATACTGTTTTTTTTTACGAAATTGGGAGGACGAAAAGCGAATATCCGGCTCTTTAACCGGGTTGGTGGTCACGGGGAGTCCACTTAGGAGAGTTAGAAAACCCTGATTCCAAACCAGTAGTGCACATGATCTCCGGTATCCTGAAGGAACAAATAACGTATTAGCCTATTGATGGTCACGGGCTACCACGGGACTGCATTCTCTTACGTTGCTCCACTGTCTTGTGGATTAGACCCGGGTGGGGCTCCCTAAGAAAACCACGTGCTTTTATCTGGGCATCCGGGGAGTATCCCAGTCCTCACATAAATCTAGTGTCTGGTGGCGCATGTCTGTTTGTTGCCTCCTTGTACCAATGTTTATGTGCTTAAATAATAATAATAATACTGAACAAGAAATAGTATTTACTAGGTAAGTGAAAAAGATTACCCGACTTCCATAGACATTTTTTTGGAATGATATTACCCCTGTCATGCACATCAACACACAAAGTTACTCTGACTTATTGACTTACTTTTATCAGTTATTATTATTATTTATTATTTAAACACAAACATTGGTACAAGGAGGCACCAAGTAGATATGCGCCACATAAATCATTCGATTTGTGTGAGGGCTGTGATACTCTACGGGTGCCCAGACCGAAGCAGGTGGTTTTCTTAGGGGGCCACACCCCGAGCCTTTGACCTAAAGGTCTAATCCACAAGACAGCGGAGCAACGTAAGAGAATGCAGTCCCGTGGTAGCCGGTGACCAATGATTGGTTCATACGCCATTTGTTCCCGCAGGATACTGGAGCCCATGTGCATCATTGGTTTGGAATCCTGTTAAAGCGCCGGACATTCGCTTTTCGTCCTCTCACTTTCGTAAACAACAGTAATGCCACGAGAAGGCAGTGAGTAGGACTTTCCTGGCAGAGGCTGTATACGCGTGGCCGTGTGAGAGTATTTCGAGACGGAGGACGGGCCCACTCCACTCTCGGCCATACCAGGGCATTTGGGGGCCGGGTGTCGTCGGCTTGCCGGCGACCATACCACGTTTTATCAGTTACCCCAGTTATATTCCTACTTTAAATTTATTATCGTGTTTCAGGATGATAGGCGATCCAAATCTTTTCAGATACGTATTACGTATGCCGAACCACCTCATACCTTGACACCCGATATTGGCTGGTGTAGAGGTAGGTTGGAAAAAAAGTTAATAGAAACACCCAAAAATAGACACAACATACATCTATGAAATCATTGACTGTTGGTCTAAGTTATATTAGTAGGTTCAGATCATCTGGTTAGGATATGTTCAAACATCGAAACCAATGGTATGAGACGTTAAATGGCGTGCTTAGTCACAACGCCACAGAAGCATCCACTCTTTGTCTTCCTTTAGACCTTGAGTTGTAAAATTCTTATACTTTTATCATACCGATTTATGTCCTATAATCACCTGTGTGGCTGGTCTGTTCACTAAAACTGATAACACTACTTCTAGATAATTTCATGTCTCTGTAATGATGTATTATGACTAATTGAACTGATTTACATATGTTCCAGGTTCTATGTTGCTTATGACTGACTGATTAAACGTTACTCCGTCTAGTTCAGTTTGGACAGCCGATTCGTATCATTAGCTCTCAAAACCAATATACCTTAGAGGTGCACTGAGTGAATGTGTTGTTTTAATAGATGGTAATAAAGAAATTCCACTGATTACGTATATGTTGCATTTCATCAATATTATTTGTAAGTTGCATGCAAATTAGCTATTAAACTAAGTTTTTTTCTTAAAGAAAAAGTAGTAATTTCTTCTATATTTCAGTCCTTCACGAAAAGAAGTTGCCGCATCTATTAAAGCTACAACTGATCCAATAAAATTATTATCGGAAACTGAATTAGCAGCTAACATAGCACGCCTTCAATTAGTTAGGAAAGAACGTGAATTAGCAGCTCAAAAACTTGAACAAGAAAAACAAGGTAAACTATAATTTGTACTTTTACATATTATTCAGACAGTATACAATTGTGAGTATAGTTTTTAAAATGTAAGTTATATATATAGAAAGAGTAGAAAAAAAGGACACCTCGTAGTTTAGGTATTCCCCTAAATCATTGAGTAGTTTTTGTATGATAAGATTAATTGTTTATCGAATTGTATTAAAGCTCAGAAAAAGTTCTCAGTCGTCAAGCTAATTACTGTTAGTAGTGAGAGCATGCATCAGTCAGTCAGCTACGGCGTAGGATCAGGCATATATATGCATCGATACAAGTTGTCATACCTCATTAGCACTAGATGAACACCGGATTCATGAGAGTAGTTAATTCAATAGTGGTAATATATAAAAGAAAGATTACATATAAGGATATAGCACTGGAAGAAAGAATTAGTTCGTAAAAAGACGGGTGTAAAGCGATTTTAATCTCATTGTTTAAGGGAAGACAGAGAGTTTATACACCTACGCCATTGTGATCGATTCCGAGCCATGTTCACATACAGTCTACAACCATTGGTTACGATAGTCACGCCGACTCCGACCAAGTAGTCTGCATCTACCAACATGGCTACGGCTAGAAGTTAGTGACTTTATGAATTGATGCCACGTTTTCGTTTGGCCGCCCCTAACTTTCTTCCAGACATTCCCAACACCGATTAGCATTGCGCGTCGTGATAGTCGCAGTTCAGGCATATGTAACACGACCCAACCATCTCAGTCGATGAAAATTCACAACCTCATCAACTGGTTTACCATCATTCCCTAATTCCCTGCGTCCCAGCAGATGCCAGCAATATATCTGAGGCATATCTGTTATTATTATATTATATTATCATATTTGTTTAAACATATAAATATTAGTACAAAGGGGCACCGAATAGATACGCACCACACAAGTCACTTGATTTGTGTGTGGGCTGTGATACTGTCCGGGTGCCCAAACCGGAACAGGTGGTTTTCTTAGGGAGCCACACCCGGAGCCTTCGACCTAAAGGTCCGGTCCACATGGCAGTAGAGCGACGTCAGATGCAGTCCCATAATAGACGGTGACCAGTGATTGGTTCATACACCATCCGTTCCTTCAGAATCCTGCAGGTCATATACACCATCGGTTTGTAATCAGGGTTTCCCAACTCCCCTAAGTGGACTCTCCGTGTCTACCAACCCGGTTAGAGCCGGACATTCGCTTTTTTCCCCTCTCGATTTCGTAAACAGTAATGCTGCGAGAAGGCAGTGAGTAGGACTTCCCTGTCAGTGGCTGTATACATGCGGCCATGTGAGAGTATTTGGAGAGGGGACTCTCCTCACCCTCGGCCGTACCAGGGCATGAGGGGGCTAGATATGTCATGCAAGTCTCCGACTAGTGATTAGGCAGATACCAACCAGATATTTTTCACCTACCAATACAGCTTAGTCGAAGTCAATGAACCCATTGATTAGTGCCATGTTTTGGTTTGGCCGCCCTTAGTTTTTTTTCCGACGTGCCCCTACAGCGGATGATATTGTACGCCAGGGTAAAACGTCGTTGGAAAGGCATAATGCTTATCCTGACCGCCTCATTCGGTGATAATGAACTGACTTTCAACCTAAGATTCCTATTTTGTAGACCACAATCCACTTTTTCCAGTAGTTAGGAAATAACAACTCGTTAGGTCCCTATATGTATATATTTAATAATACTAAAAGTTTATACATGCAATATATTCTTCCATGTAAAACTCGTTTTATTTCATACCATACGAGTATTTAAAATAACGTTGTTTGTGTTCCCTTAATCTCACAATCTTATCATCATTTAGCCCGTGAAGCACAGCGTGCAGCAATCGCTGCAGCCAAACGTACATCTCAGACAAAACCACAACAGAAAAGTGGTCGTAGTGGTAAACAACATACTAAAAGTAACAAAGAACATCAAATAGTCAATCAAAGAAACAATACAAACTCATCAGTACTCACCGATGATAACTGATCGATTAATTGGTTGGTCAATGATTATATTGTTCCTAAGTCTATGCTTGTCTGATGACTCAAATATAAAGATGAGGAATAACAACTATGTTGCAAAGTTGACACACATATTCACCTTTTCGTTTGATAAAAAAAATACTCAAACAAATCCAACTATTCTTATTCTTTTCGATACATGCCATAAAACTGTTTTAGATTACGTTCTCTGTTATTTGACTTTCTGTATTAATAACATGAAAAGTTAATTCATAAATTGTATACTTTTTATCCAACATGCTCTTTTATACATTTTAATAACTAGATAAAACATTTATATATATACAGCTGTATTCCTGTATGGTTGTATTAAGCTTGATAATACCTTCAATGAGCTTTTGGAGTATAGTGCAATCACTAAGTAAAGAATTTCAAGGTTTAGCACAGTATAGCGAATACAAAATGATAAGTGGTTTTCATGAAATTATGAATGGTTGGGACGTGCCACATGTATCTGATTCTATAGCCTACCTTAATATACTATGCTGGCAAGTGTAGAATTAACTTAGGGAAGACCAGAAATGGTTAAATGAAGAATGGATCAGTCTATGAATTTACTGACTGTTTTTGTCTCATTTGTGTTGGTCGATTTAAAGATCCTAACGAGGATGCGTGAGATAAAAAGGATCTTGGACTTAGATTTTCCGTCAGTGAAAGAATGAACTGTTTCATTAGGCAAGAAGTGTATTATACTTAGAACTGATTTTTATTATCTCTTCCTCTCGTTGTCTATCTTTCCTAACATCACATTCGAGTGATACAAATTTTTGGTTTCAAACTCTGACAACTTTTTCTCTTAGTTTTACCATCCCTATCCCCCAATTGACCTACTTGAAATCGTAATAACTCAATAATCAAGCGTCTCAACTGGACTAAATCATCGCATTACAGTGAAATCTGACCATCATGTGCATTAACAGATTCTGTCAAGTCAGTTAATTTTAGTCATAGTTATGAATATACTTGTTGTAAGGACGACATTCCCTGGTTTTTCTTTGCATTAAATAAAGCTTGAGTTCTTCACGTGTAAATGTTAGGTCAATTAGAAATTGCGTGATTAAAAAATTTAACCAGCAAGCCGAATTATAACAAACATTGATATCTTTAAGACTTACAGGATACCGTTGAATGATGTATTCAATTGTGGTGATTGTTTCTTCTTAAATAAAACCTTAGTAACATAATTGAGGAACGTATACTCGTCTGTATTTATAGTACGTCATAATCTTGTACTTAGTGCGTATAATCACATGAATTGTAAGTTTGGAGAATACAAAACAGTGAGTTCTTTGTCCGATCTTCCTGGCGTTCTGATTGATGATTAAAATTGCAGTATCGCGTGGACTATCCAACCGCTTTAGCATATACATTAACGGCGTTAACTGGAATATAGTATAGAAAAATTTCACAAACCCTACTCCATATACTACCAAGTGAAGATAGTCTCGTTGAAATTGGTGTAAGTTATAATCCTGGTCCCAGTGAACACATTTTATTTGAAGAATGCAACATTTTTGTTGTTATTACAAAACAGAGCATTCCGGAACACCTTTATTACCATCCACAGAAGAAAGAGACTAGCTGATGAATGTTTTCAAGTTTTATTTTTTAACTAGCCTATTTGAAACTTTGAGAAAAGTCTCATCACAACATAATCCCATAGAATACACTGCTTTAATTCAAAGAAAATAAACCTTGAATATATCCATGTGATTTTCACCCGAGAAAACCCAGTTGGACAAATTAGATCCATTGTAGTGTCACCTACCATGTTAAGTCCATATACCTTGTACCAGCTTCTGGACAGGCTAATTTATCCGTTATTGTTGAGTCACGTTTTCACCTTGTTGATTATTCACTTACAAACCCTAATAGTTTTTATATGAACGTATGTGTGTATACACACCTTATCCTATTCACCACATGTCTGTAACCTATTTTTACCTGACTATGAATATTGATTGAATCGAGTTGGTTCACATTGCCTTCTCCACTCTGCACGTCATTTCACGTCACTCTCGTTGATTGCCTGTTCAAATCACTGAGTGCATAAAATACACATAATCAAAATCCATTATTCGTATTAGGCTTATTTAATTCCGTTATATTCACTAATGCGGAATAAGTCGATAATCATATACGAGTAAAGTTAGGATGTATATTTTGACAGCAATCATTCATACGATCTACTTAGAGTCAGATCCCCGGACCACTAAAGCGTAACAAATGAAAAAAAGTACAGTAGTATGTGTAGTTGATGAATAAAGTTAAAAACCCTATTATTTACAAAGTACAAATTTGAACATGTCTTTTTGCAAACTAATAGTCGGATTCAAGAAATAAGTATACTTTTGTGCGAAACTTCTTGATTAAATTTTTCTTGCACTCGGGTGTTGGTGTTCACATTACACTGAAACTTGAAATCAGTAGTATTTACAAGTTAAAACACCGTAACACATTAACCATTATTTATTCATCAAGTTACGAATTCACGAAAATCAATTCACAAAATACCACCAACGAAGAAATACCAGATTGTTATAATCAAAATAAAAATGGAATTTATTTTGTAAACTGTACAACATTTTGTTTTTTTTTATTATTACCGAAATCAGTCATTTAGTGTAGAGATATTCATGATCACATTTTATTTTTTTGTCAGTAATAGGATCGAAATGCTTTTTTACTGCTTCGTGGAATAGAAAGACTGGAAATACGTAAACGACAGAACGATGAACTACAAAAAAAATGATAGAGAAAGTTTATAAATAGTATTCTTTTCAGTAAATGATGAAGACAATCAAGTGATGAAAAAGAAAATGCACCGCATTTCGCGTAAACATTGACTGGTTACCGAAGCTTTGATAAGGATCTGTTGATAAAAATTTTAAATGGTTCAACTAACAGATGAGCGCTTACTTTAGTTAACATTTAGTCTAACCTCAACCAAGTGGCGCGCGAAACTGAAGGCTCTGGGTTCGAATCCCGCGGGAGGGATCGTAGATGCACAGTGCTGAGGAGTCCCACAATAACATGAAGCGGCCGCCCAGTGGTTCCAGGTTTTCAATGGTGATCTAACACCAATCGGTTTATGATCTGAATCAAAAGTTTAATAATCTCCGCAACCCTATACTGACAATAACATTTTTAATAGTTTGAAATAGGCTCGATTTATTCTCTGTTCCTTCGCTCTATATGACCAATCAAAAACGTCATTTTCCAGACGTTTAACCAAGAATCTACGTTCAAAATATACTGTGATTGATTGAATTTAGTAACAAATTCTTATTCTTTTCCTCCAATCATGTTACCTCATATGCATATTTAAAACAGATAATCTATTTAGAGAAATGTTTGTGGTTGTTGGATTCCCAACAGAAAACCAGTTTGTTAGACCAGTTCAAATAATCAAAAATGTAAATATATTTTCAATGAAAATGTAATGGTATATGAAATAAAAAAAAACTATATATATCAGGGGTTTTGTGGAAATTTTAGTAATTTCAATTGTTGAGATCATGAGTCAAGTGAAGCTAATTGCTCAAACACAAGATCAGTAGGTCCTGGGTTCGAATCCCGCGGGGCGGGATCGTAGATGCACACTGTTGAGGAGTCCTACAATAGGAAGAAACGGTTGTCCAGTGCTTCCAGGTTTTCAATGGTGGTCTAGCTTCAACTGACTCATGATTTCAATCTGTGAAATTTCTAAAATTTCCACAAAACCCATTCTGATAATAATAATCAACTGCTCACTAGTGACTGACTTCAGGAAAAAACTCCCGAAGTTCTAGTGAGAAGCCGTTACCAGTGGAGTTCAACCAGGTCTGTTGTGAGATAGGAACTCACTGAAGACAATGGTGTACGGTGGCGCAACTTCGTGGATTGGTTGAAGTTAGACATTAACACCGTTGGATGCCGGCTCAGTGGTCTAATGGTTAAGTGCTCGCGCGCGAAGCCAGTAGGTCCTGGGTTCGAGCCCCGCGTGGTGCGGGATCGTGGATGCGCACTGCTGAGGAGTCCCATACTAGGACGAAACGGCCGTCCAGTGCTTCCAGGTTTTCAATGGTGGTCTAGCTTCAACTGACTCATGATTTCAATCTGTGAAACTAATTTTAATGTGAAGTAGTAAAGAAATATCCATACTTATTACTATTTACCACACTTTGAGAACTTACCTTAATCTCATAAATATTACAGAATAATAAGTCAATAAACCAGATGTTACGATAAATGCAGTGAGTAATTTTTCCCATACAGAAGTTTGAATCTTTGATATGAAAAAAAGAGTACAGAACAAGTACATTATTAAGTAATTAGTATAAAATCCCAATTTAATGAACTGACGAAACGGACATCCAGTGCTTCCAGGTTTTCAATGGTGGTCTAACACTGATCGATTTAAGATCTCAATTAAAAGCCAACAGTCTGAACAACTCTATACTGATAATTATTATATGCTCACTAGTGACCAGCTTCCAGAGATAATTCTCCGAGTTCTAAAGAAAAGCCGCGACCAGTGGAGTTTAACCGTGTCGGATGTGAGGCATTTCGCCAACGAAGATTATGTAAGGAGGTTGAGCAATATTGTCGATTGGTTAAATTGCGACAATAACAGCGTCGAATGACGTCTTAGCAGTCTAGAGTTTGGGTATTTTTGTACCAGACTGAAGGTGCCGGGTTTCGACCTCCCCTGCCAACAACACCCTCACTTTCATCACACTACTCAGGTTTGTGCAGTGTATTTCGACAGTTAGCATATGATCTATCACTACCAGGCATCACATTGATCGATTGATGATCTGAATGATGAAATTAGTCAACAATCTCCACAACCCTATACTGATATTTATTATGATGTGCTGGCTGACCAGTGACTAGCTTGGAGAGGTGGATCTCGGAGTTGTAGTGAGAAGCTGTGACCACTGAAGGTAACCCATATGAGGTGTGAGGCAATTAGCCACGGAAGACAATGTGGTCGGGCAATATCGTGGATGCGCACTGCTAAGTGGCCCCTTACTAGGACGAAGCGGCGGTCCAGTGCTTCCAGGTTTCTAATGGCGGTCTAACGTTGATCATTTCATCATTTCAACTAAAAGTCTCACATATCTGGGCAGCATATTCGATAAACAAGGAGGATCTTGTGCAGATGAAAAGACAAGGATTGGCAAAGCAAGGACAGCATTCTTACAACTGAAGAACATATGGAACTCAAAACAACCGGCAACCATTATCAAAGTCAGAATATTTAATACGAACATCAAGACAGTTCTACTGTACGCAGCTGAAACTTAGAGAACTATTACAGCCATCACCAAAAAACACAACTATTTATAAACAATTGTCTACGCAAGATTTTTAATATCCGCCGCCGAATTGCCTGGTACGAACGAGGCTGCGGAGTCCGCTCTCCCTCTCGAAATGCTCCCACATGGCCACGCGTATACAGTCACTCCCACGGAAATCCTACTTACTGTTTTTTCGAGGCACTACTGTTGTTCATGAAATTGAGAGGACGGAATGCGAATGTCCGGCGCTTTAACCGGGTTGGTGGACACGAAAGGTCCACCTAGGGGAGTGGGGAAACCCTGATTCCAAACTAATGATGTATATGGGTTCCAGGATCCTGAGGGAACAAAAGGCGCATAAACCTATTGTTAGCCACCGGTTACCATAGGACTGCATCTCTTTACGTTGCTCCATTGCCTTGTGGATCAGACGCATATGTATTTGGTGCATCCTTGTATTTTATTGGCCCGGGATCTGACTCCAATTAGATCATATGTTGATCGCTATTGAATGATTGCTATCGAAATATATATGTCACCTATTCTCGTATATAATTATCGACTTAACTCGCTTTAGTGAATAACGGAATTAAAATAAGTTAAATACGAGAAAGAATTTCGAATACGTATATTTTGTACAATCACTGATCTGGGCAGACAATGAGCGGGATGAAGCGAATAGAGGAGAGCGAAACGAAATGACGCGCAGTGAAGGCATGTGAACCAACTCCATTTAGCCAAGCGTTAATCAATATTTATAGTCAGATGATGATGAATAGAATAAGAAGTGTACACACATATGCGCTCATATAAAAACAGTCACGGTTGATAAGTGAATAATTAACAAGGTCAAAACATGACAGAAGAAGAATGGATAAATTGGTCTGTCCAGAAGCTAGAATAAGTTATATGGGCTTAACTAGTAAACAACACTATAGTACCAATGTTTATGTCTTTAAATAAATAAATATTATCCGTTGGCCAGATATCACCAGCTTAACCTACTATGGAAGAGAACAAACCAACTACCAACTAAAGAGGAAATTAAGAAAAACGCTGGAGGTGGATATGACATACATTACGGATAACAGGAAAGGATTTCCCAGGACAGAGGTCGATGGAGAATGCTAGGGAGCAGACTTTGCTCCTCCACAAGGGGTAATATATATATGGGAAACATTAATAGTAAAAGTCGAAATTAATTGTCTATAAAGAAACAAAAATATCAACAATAACCAATTAGATATAGAACAGACGGGATATAGCTTACAGCGGAATTCAGGATGAGTATTTAATCTTACTTGAGACTTGATCTTAATTGAATGTACCTGGATCCCATAGTTGATGTCCATTCCGGGATTCAAATGCACTGGCGTTTGAAACGAAAGGTACTATATTGACATCAACCCTAGAATGCATGTACATTCATCTAAAAATGATTCCCAAACAGGACAAAACGTGCGTCTTGCCACACTTCATCTATCTTTTGATCAAATTACGTCATAATGGCTGTATCGAGGAGATCGGCACAAGATGCCCATATCCCAATTAAGAATAACAAAATATCAGTCAAAAATATCAACAACAGGATCATTTAAACCATTTCAAATTGAATTAACAACCAATTAACATCTATCACAATTAAAACTTACATGTGAATCTGGTAAAATCCAATATCGATCACAAGATAACTGATCACATAATGTAGTTTGAAGTAGTTCTACAATCGTTCATTATTATCATTATTAGATAACCATGCAATTATAATCATTTTCCATGATATAAGGGTATTAGAGGTATGATGATAAGAAATAATGAGAAAAGTATTCATCAAATCAAATAACACAATATGTGAATTGATCTAAGTTGTCATAATATATTATAACAGTAAGATATATTAAGAGTGTCAGTGATAGTAAAAGTTACTGACAAAGATGATTGATACAGTGGGTCAATTAGAACTCACTAAATGAAGTCATATTGTGCCAATCAAAAATTTAAATGCGTGTGTGATTGACTGAGAAGCAGTTTCATTTTCTAAGGGGTATATACATATATAATATATATAATATGCATGTGATTTGATTTAGCCCAATAAACGTTTTCGTTCTGATAAATCTCCTAGTTGAACGCTTGAATCGATTCGCTAAGCTCTTCTAGCAACCTCTAAACTAAATCTACAACGGCAACTTGAACACGCGAGAAAAGGTGTGAAATATGTTAAGAGCGATTTACTCAGAGGTTATTTTATGTACAAGAAATTCAGGGTATTTATAACATTTCAGATGACCTTGGGCTTCTGGGAAGTTCCAGAACCCTTCTAAACATAGTAGTGGGGAATGCGACATGTGACTTTTCGCTTTCTAGATATTTCTTACAAACATCTATTGAATACTGATTGGATAGGATGTTTCCAAGCGTTTTCAGGGCCGCTTTGGGGATTTTTTCGAGAAATTTTCTGGGTCTCCCCAACACTTTCACTACCAGTTTCCTCACTCAGTATCTGGTTAGCGGTTCGCACATAGTAAGTTTATGTACCAATATCAGCATAAGAAAAAGGAGTACAATAACGAACAGAAATTAGTTCATGATAGTGAAATAATATTAATGGGAGAGGTAGTGCAGTTAGCAAAAATACAACCAGAAAAAATTTCCCCAGTTAAATTTACGTCCACCTCTCCGCTTTTTCCAACCAGTCCCAGAGTCGGCAAATAATACACGACGTGGAATTTTCTAGGATGACATTCGTAAGAAATATCCAACCACTGAAGACGATGTTTCAAGATAGTAACACTAAATGCATTATTGTGGCTGTACCCAAACTCTGCACTACTAACATGGTGTTGCCACTGAATGTCAGCAATCCTTCGGAGACAACGATGACCAAACACAGAGAGTCTTCTAACATTCTCAACTCGGAGAGGCCAGGTTTCACAATAAGAGAGCAGAACTGCTCTCACCGACGCGTTGTAGATCCGACCTTTCACAGCCAGACTAACATCACGAAGGCGCCAGAGGTGGCCCAGATTGGCATGAGCCGCTCTGGCTTTCACTACACGTGCATTAATCTCATCACTCACACCCCCACTAGCACTTATGCAGCTACCCGGATACACGAACTTCTCAACTACGTCTATCTGCTCACCATTCAGGGTGAGTACAGGATTGGAATCCTGCCAGTCTTGTAGAAGTACTTTGCACTTCGAAGGTGCAAAGCAAATACCAAACCTACGGACACTGATTGCCAACTGATTAAGTGCGGATTGCATGCCTTGGGCATTATCGCACAGTAAGACAATATCATCCGCATACTCAAGGTCGAGAAGTCTTTCTCCAGGCAACAGATCCACACCACCATTACTTACATTCATCAGAGCTGTTTCCAGAATGTCATCGATGGCAAAGTTGAAGAGGAATGGTGAGATTGGGCAACCCTGCCTAACCCCACTGCTCGAATGGAACAATGGAGAAAGGCGGTTGTATGCCCTCACTCTGCCTGAGGTGTTTGTGTATAGGGCTTTTAGGATGTTAATAAACTTCTCAGGCACACCCTTCTTCAATAGACAATCCCAGAGAACAGTCCTGTCCAACGAATCGAAGGCAGCCCTGATGTCAAGAAACACTACGATTGTTGGCCTTTGATAAGTATGGCGGTGCTCTAACATTTGGCGAAGGGTGAAGATATGATCAATACATCCTCGACCGGAACGAAACCCAGTCTGCTCCTCGCGAGTCAATCTTTCTCGGGTTCTGAACAACCTACGAAGAATGACGGAAGCCAACAGTTTGGACGCAATTGGAGGTAGACTTATCCCCCGATAGTTTTTACAGAAAAGACGTGAACCCTTTTTAAAGATAGGGACAACTATCGACTCATTGCATGATGTTGGAACGCTCTCTAGCTCCCAAACCTTTGTAAACAACTTAGACAGTTCCTTAACAAGTCACTATCATCTTTAAAAAGGGTCAGAAATGAGTGATTTGTAGCACTTCAAGAGTTTGAGTTCCTTGCGGACTTCCGCCTTATTAGGCAGATCAGTCGTTACGGGTCATGGAGGATGATGCAGTTAAACAGTAAACCAATCACCCATTAATGGGATAATTTGTGAGTCATGCGTATAACCTATACAGTTATAGAGTGATCTAGTATAATCAGGCTATCACGAAAAATTCCTCACTATATACAATTCAAGAGAAAAACTGGTGATATCAAGAAGCTAATGTGCTTTGGCGATCTAATAATGAATTGCATTTTGTATCAATATACTTCAGATAAAATTTAGTAATCTGGTGATATTTTTTTCTTTTATTCCTAAATGTTTTATTTTCGGGGTTGTACCAAACCCACAAAAAAATCTTATTGAGTAAAAATGGACCTCCCTCCGTCTTCTCCTATGCACATACATGAACATGGATTAACAATATGATGATATGATACGCGACCATTGATATGAATACATGTAAAAAACACAGGAATCCGATTGGAGAAATGTTGGAATTGTGGATGAAGGAAATTGTAACAATGCCAGTAAATCTCTCGAGATATGGCATTCAAATCATAGATTTAATCTATCAATCAATATAAAAGAGGTCAACTGCTAGTCAGAAGGTGGTGAAACTTATGAAGACAGCCAATCACAAAAAAGCCATTGTAACGAACTGATATAACACTTTTGGAATAACTGAAAGATTTGATTCTACATGATGTAGGCACTGATGTTGTCCGGAACAATAATAAGAGTTTCAAAATTGAACCATTGAAATCATAGAATACAACATTATTAAAAGCATCTATCTGAAAATGTAAATCTCTTTCATTTTGCGGAGAACTACTACAACCATCATCAAGAAGATACAAGTATTTATAAATAGTTGTTTACGCAATATACTCAACATCCATTGGCCGGATACCATCAGCAACAGCCTTCTGTGGGAGACAACAAACCAGTTTCCAGTTGAAGAAGAAAATAGGAAAAGATGATGGAAATGGATAGGAACTACATTGAGGAAATCACCAAACTGCATCACTAGACAAGCGCTAACTTGGAATCCTGAAGAGAAGCGGGAAAGTGGAAGGCAAAAGAACACATCACGTCGGGAAATAGAATCAAATATGAAAAGGGTGAATAACAACTGGAAAGAGTTAGAAAAGAATTGCCCAGGACAGCGTTGGATGGATAGTGCTGGTGAGCGGCCTATGCTCCTTCACGAGGAGTAACAGGTTTAAGTAAGTTTACTGAAAGTTCAACATCCTTTGAAAAACATGAAACACTGGACAGTTATTTCATCCTAATATGGGAACACTTTAAAAATCCAGTGATCATGACTTCTCACTAAATTCACAAACTTACCTAATAGTACTCAATCTATGATCTAACTTGGATCACCCTACAACATCGATAGCATTATGTGATTTACTTTTAACATCAATAAATTTACAAAACTAGATGAATAGAAATAATAGTGTTTGTTTAAAGAAAAGAAAATTGAATTTATAACTTACGACGTATTTGTGTACTGCTACTGTCATTTCCGGATGGTGTACATTTATTCAAGATGTCCTAGTTTATAAAAAAAAAGAAAGAAAATATGAATAAAATAACAGAAAATATTGATAACAAGACTGTTTAGTGATTCTGTGGTGTATGCTGCTTATATCGACATAATTAGTATATGACGTTAATCGTGAACAGAATGTCTGACAGCTGAGAGACCCCCAAATGCCCTGGTACGGCTCTCCCTCTCGAAATGCTCTCATATGGCCACGCGTATATAGCCTCTGCCAGGGAAGTCCTACTCATTGCCTTCTCGTGGCGGGGGTGTTGTTTACGAAAATGAGAGGACGAAAAGCGAATGTCCGGCGCTTTAACCGGATTCCAAATGGTGCACATGGGCTCCAGTACCCTGCGGGAACAAATGGCGTATGAACCAATCATTGGTCACCGGCTTCCATGGGACTGCATCTCCTGACGATGCTCCACTGCCTTGTGGATCAGACCTTCAGGTCAAAGGCTTTATGTGTGGCCCCCTAAGAAAACCACCTGCTTCGGTTTGGGCACCCGGGCAGTATCACAGCCCTCACACATATCGAATGAGATTTGTGTGGCGCATATGTATTTGGTGCCTCCTTGTACCAATGTCTATGTGTTAAAATAAATAATAAATAATAAAGAGACAAGAGGATCGAACAGTAAAAAATGGAAACAGAATGCAATTTGTATGAAAATGCAAGAACAATAAAGTCTGAGTCATTTTGAGACAATCGATGGACGTTTTGCAAATTACGTATTGACTATTTGATTGTTAGATTTTATTAACAAGTTCTGTAATTTTGTGTAAAATACATTCAATTGTTCCCCATTGATGTTCTGTTCACTACAATTCCATCTAAAGAAAACTCGAATTTACCGACGATAAAAATAGGAAACTCAACACAAAAGGTTCACTGTTGTTAATAAAAGCATTCCCCATAAAAATTTGGAATTCTGAGACAATTTCTGCTGAAACCCACTAAGACATTTTTTCAATATCGATCCAATATTTCATATCATAAGCTTAATAATTACACGTTTCGTAACACACATTTTTGGATGAATTTTAGAAGATAATACATTGCCTTTACCCATCATGACTTATATTTACTAGTTTACTTGCTACTATGAAGAAGTGTGTATTGACCAGGTAAGTTTTGTGTTCTTTCACCTCAAAAATGATATCTTTTAACAGTCATAATATAAACTATCATATCTGCGTCATCTTAACAGTGCTGTAACACCGATTATTCATATATTTAGGTACAATGCTTCCTGCGAATAAAGTGTCTGCGATTCAATGTACGTTTTCAATAGAAAGCTATTGTTACTTATTTTTTTGCTTTAGTAATATAACCCATATCTGATTAAATAACTTTATGAAGCTCTCTTACTCCAAATCATGTATGTTACTTACTTACGCCTGTTACTCCTCATCAGTCAGTAACAACGTAGAACTTCGTACGTACGCACATAAGCTCAAGTTGCCATAACCACATTAGCACAGAGAAACAACTGTCGATTCAAATCCCATAGTAGTAGGGGTAGTAAATGTATAAGCAGTAATCGGAAGGATGAGGGTTTGAAGATGTTATCCAAGGAGTATGATCCAGTAAAGAGAAAAATAAGGAACATGAAGGTTTCAGGAGATTAGGATTTGGGAGAACACAAAGATTGGATGCACATGCGCCATTGCAAACGATTATGAACCATGTCATTCAAGGTCTCTAACCATCGGTTCCTATCGTCTTGCGGATCCCAATCAGGCAGTCTACACCTACCAACATGAATCAGTCCACTTGCCAGTGACTTCATGGACTTGTGCCATGTTTTGTTCTGGCCGCACCTAGCTTTCTTCCAACCTACTCCTACACCATAAAACATGGCACGTCGGGGCAGTTGGTGGTTGGGCATACGTAACACGTGTCCCAGCCATCTCAACTGGTGAAGCTTTACTACTTTGTCAATTTATTTTCCACCCTCACCTAGTACCCGTTTCCAAACAACTGTATTACTTACTCGGTGGTCCCGGGATATACGAGCAATGGTTCAAATACACCTATGATCGAATACTAGTAACCTACGAATATCCTCTACTCTTACCAGCCATGTTTCACTGCCATAAAGTAGGGCGGAACGAACTGCTGCGCAGTAAACCTGTCCTTTGGTTGGTAGACGGATATCTCGCCTACGCCCCTCATGGAGGAGCATAGGCTGCACACCAGCACTCTCTATCCAACTCTGTCCTGGGCAGTCCTTTCCAGTTACGATTCATTATTTTCATGTCTGCTTCCAAGTCCCGCCGTAGTGTGTTCTTCGGCATCCCTCTTTTCCCTCTTCCTTCGGGATTCCAAGTTAGCGTTCACCTCGTGATGCAGTTTGGTGATTTCCTCAATGTATGTCCTATCAACTTTCAACGTCTTTTCCTATTTTCCTCTTCAGCTGGAAGCTGGTTTGTCCTCTCTCATAGTAGGGTGTTTTTGATGATTTCGGGCCAACGGACATTGAGTGTCTTGCGTAGACAATTGTTTAGAAATACTTGTACCTTTTTGATGATGGTTGCGGTAGTTCTCTAAGTTTCAACTCCGTACAGTAAGACTGTCTTGATGTTCGTACTGAAGATTCTCACTTTGATATTAGTTGACGGTTGTTTTGAGTTCCATATGTTCTTCAACTGTGGGAATGCTAGCCTTGATTTGCCAATTCTTGCGTTTACGTTTCGATCCGATCATCCTTGTTCATCGATGATGCTTCCCAGGTACTTGAAAGATTCTACGTCTTCTAAAGCTTCTGCATCAAGTATGATTGGGTTGGTGTTCTCCGTTTTCTCCCAAATTCTAATCTTCTGAATTCTTCATGTCTCGTTTTTTTCTTCTTCCAAATTTATTTCACTGGATTATACTCCTTGAATAACATCTTTAAACCCTAATGTTTTAGATTACTGTTTATACTATCACTACCTCTACCACTACGGGATTTGAATCGATAGTTGTATCTCTGTGCTAATGTGGTATGGCAATTCGAACTGGTGTACGTACGTATGAAGTTCTACGATGTTACTGACTGATTGGTGTTCTCCGTGTTGTATTTGGGGATCTGGCTTTTTCCCTTGTGCATGTTGAGGCTTACTGATGAAGTGGCTGTTGCTACATTGGTTGTATTGACCTGCATTTGTTCGTGCGTATGGGAAATTTCCTGAGATAAACCAATAGCATATTTCACTTTTGAATATCAATAAACCCGATTCAGTCACTTAGTTACATACCAATCCAATAAATCAAGATCCCCATGCTCCCATACTATCATTCTAACCAATTTTCCAAGGTTAACATGTTTAAATGTAATGGTGCTATCAAAAAAAGTAAAACCTAACAATTACGTGCATTGACTCAGTTTGTCACATTGTATCAGCAAGGCGAGATAGGAACAGTGACAATATTAGAGGTAGAAAGGGAAGGTTCGGCATCGTGTGTTCGGGCACAGAGATGATAACTCAATTGGTGTCACCATCTTGAAACACCGACTTCGGTGGCTTGGACATGTTCTCCGAATGTCGTCCCAGAGAATTCCACGTCGTGCATTATTTGCCGACTCTGGGACTGGTTGGAAGAAGCGGAGAGGTGGTCAGTGCATGACATGGTGTCGTGGCATGAAAGAAAGCTGCAAAGGACTAGCTTGTGTTGGTCCTTCACGACTCCCTGGTTGGGGTCCGAGAGATGGTGCTACACAGTGGCTAGAGACGTTATCAGATATGGCTCAGAATAGAAGCCAGTGGCGATCCTGCTGTAACCTTCTTTTACTTTCTTCATAAAAAGTGGTTGTGTCTCCTTTACCTGAAAGATTTCTTCTGATTGTACCTCTTCGTCATTACTCTCTCTTTCTTTTGCGTTCCTTAGTTTTTTTTTTCTTTCTACGTCTCTTCGAATTCCCATTGTTTTGTGTGGCGCATATATATTGGCGCTCTCTTGTACCAATATTTATGTGTTCAAATAAATAAATAAATAAAGAAAGGGAAGTTCAGGTATAGACAATATAATTCCAGAAGAACGAATTCGCGGAATAAAAAGTATAAGATAATTCTAAAGCTCAAGATTCAAAGGAAGACAAAGAGTGAATGTCTCCGTACCATTGTGGCTGATTCTGAACTACGTCAGTTAACGTCTTCAACCATTGATTGGGACGGTCGCGCAAACGGTGGTTGAGGATACGTAATACACATCAAAAGGGGTTAGATTGAAACGAATTCACTACGTCATCAACCAATTTGGCATCTTTATCAAGTATTCTGTGTCCAAATTCAACATTGCTTACTCGGTGGCGCCAACGTACGCTAGTAATCCTTAGATAATTTTATGACTAAGTAAGAGTAGGCCATACATATCCCTTATTTTAAAGGTTACATTTGAGTATAACAGAACCAACTGTTCTGAAGTAAACTGGTCCTTCAGTTGAAAGACAGACATCTCCCATACGCCACAAATAATCCCAAGTTGGAATGAATGAAATATGTATAGTGACATATTTTATATTCATCAGCAGCGGTATTTCGTTTTCTGGGAGGTAAAACCTGGTAATGAGGTACTGTTTGTTGCCAGGTGGAGTAACTGACTTTGTAGAAACACCAACACCACATAATTAGTGAAGGCCAACTGCTTGTAAATATCTCAATTTCAGTCGGTGACTAATCAAGTATGCATCAGTTTCTTAAAACGTTACCGTGTTCCGCCTTAAATACTACTACTCCATTAAATGTAATACACAAGTGGAGGGAAAGTGGTTTAACTGTGCAAGCTTTCAAATCTACACCACTCGACAAAAGGTTTGACGGAGGCCACTCTATCTCGGTCTAAACAGATGGGTAGTGGTAGTATTAGCATCCAAGCAAGTCCCGCTCAAAGTATAATGTACATGAGTTCCTAATTAGATACTTGTGTAAAAAAAAATACCTACCTCACATTGCTTTGAAATAGCTTCAAACGACTTTGGATCACATAATGCTTCATCCCAAAACACTTGATAACCATAATCAATATCTGGTTTTAGTACAGAACAACGAAGTAGCGAACAATAGGACGATAAACAAATTGTACGACTGGTACTATAAGCATTTGTTTCATGTCTATTGCCAATATGTAAATCAAATGTATTTTCTGTGTAGAATCGTTTACCACACATTTGACATTCCCAATCATAATCAGAAATTTTATTTTTCATTTGTTCATGAATAGCATAAATATCATGTTTAGGATGAAAAGGGCATAGTTCGTTCATAGCAACACCTGTATATTTAAATAATGGGAAAACAATCTTTTCTGTAATTAAATGAATATTTCAAAACTCAATGACTTACCTCATTTAAGATGGAACGTGCTAAACGACTTTGAGAAATGCTGCATTTGTCTAATATATTACTGTGTATTGTCGAAATCGAAATGATGATTAAACAACACGCAGATAATATCCGTGTTTTGGATAATGTACGACCAATAAAAATATCCATTGTAACGAAATTTAGAAATATCTGTCCTCAAGCATAGCACTGAGAATTGTAGCTAGAGGAAACAGATTGAATAAGTAAAACAAAAATTAGTTGTGTACATAATCAAAGGATCAACTCCAAAACCCTTGAAGAATCAAATATTGAACAACTAGAAGGCAGTCAGTCAGTCAGCTACAACGTAGGACCAGGCACATATATGCATCGGTCCAGGTTGCCATACCTCATTAGCACAGCAAGATGAACACCGGATTCATAGCAGTGGTTAGGTCAAAGGTGGTAATATATAGGAGAAAGATTGCATATAAGGATACAGTACAGGAAGAAAGAATTAATTTGTAGAAAGATATGAAATGATTTTAATCTCTTAGTTTAAGGGAAGACTGAGAGTGTATGCACCGACGCCATTGTGATCGATTCTGAGCCATGTCACCAAGAGTCTCCAACCATCAGTTACGAAAGTCACGCGGACCCCAACCAAGTAGTCTGCATCTACCAACATGGCTCAGTCATTGTAGATAACAGTAAACTTCGAAGCTTGATTATTCTCCCAGACCACTTCTGTAAAGTGAAACCACTTTCGGTGACTGATGTTGCTAAATAGTTATAATGTTGACAAAAACGGTAAGGGGTCATCTCCGATGATAGTTTAAAATCAGTTTTTGTTGAAAACAAAGACGATGATCGTTTGATGGCAGACAGTAAGGCTTCAATTCCTCGAGATTTATCACTAGCAAAATCCGTTGACTTTACTCCCATTCTCATCAAATGTAAAATTTAGTGTGGTGGATCTGTTAATAGCCCTTAACTCTGCGTACATTCGAGTGACTAAAATACTTGAATTTTTGTACCATTTACTTACATCCGCTATACTAGATAATAAAATTTTGGTCAGATTATATTACGACAATGTTTTTTTGAACCGATTCCTTATTTTCATAAATTCTAGTCAGCTTGACTGACTTTAATACCCACCTGGTAAAATAATAAACCCGTTAATATGCTACAGAGAAGTCTATTAAGTATGAGTTCCATCCAATATTTTTAATGTCGCTCATGTACACGGAAAATAACCCTGGGGAACAGCTACTTGAGAACTGAAGTTGACAAAATGAACTTTTGAGTACTTGGTACTTTTGTACACAACTCAAACACTCGTGTACACTATAGGTATAATTACAATTCCTTAATATTTGTCTATAATCTAATTTTTGCTTGAACTTTTTTTCAGCCAAACCCCGAAGGCTTAAACGAAGCTTCCTTCAACAGACTAAAACTAAGTCATATCTATTGATCAGACCTTCATGCCGAAGGCTCCGGGTGTGGCCCCCTAAGAAAACCACCTGCTTCGGTTTGGGCACTCGGGCAGTACCACAGCCCTCACACATATCAAATGAGATTAGTGTGGCGTATATGTGTTTGGTGCCTTCTTGTACCAATATCTATGTTTTAAAATAAATAAATAAAATAAATCCTTTTATTTATTATACTTCCCGATAATGGGTCCGTGGTAGTATTAGCATTTTTGCTGAAGAAGTGACTGTAACTGTCGCAGTGATTCGAAACTTAACTATCAGGAATCAAACGATCGTGGTGGCCAAGCTACCAATCTCCTTGTAAGAAATGAATATATTTGACTAGCAAGTGACTAATAATTCACATACGAAACTACTGCGAGGTACTTGTACGTAATCTAAGTATTTAGAGGAACTTAAGAGCATAAGGTCGTGGTATGTCGTTAGTCGCAAAAATACCAAGCAACTGCTCGCGATATGCTTACACAAGATGTCCTGCTAAATAATAGTTCAAGGGTCTGTACCTCTATTTTCTAATATTTACGACCTCTAGTACACGGGAAAATTCATTATTGGTTGCTTAGTTAGGCAATAAATCCTAAGATTTATAGACATGGCTATCGTAGCCGTATACCACAGTATATACCACAGAGAGTGAGATTGTGGCACAATCAGAAAGCGTACGCTACCACAAAACGTATTTGCAGGACAACACGGGATAACATACGTCCGTAATGAGGAACTCGATTAGTTGGCTGGAATTGCTGTTTGACTAAATGTCCCGATGAGGTGTATCCTAAGCTCCCAACTTTGGGGTTTTTGTGCCTTTTCCCCAAAATTGGGAGCTCGGGTATGTATCTTCCCAGATCATTTAGCTTTTAACTGACTGCAAATGCCTAATTTAAAGTATTGATTCAACAAACTAGTCAGTCAATAATCCCAAATGACATGTCGTCCCTTTCATATCGTCTTACGTTCATACATACCGCTAATTCAGAAATACAAATCTGTCTCCTGGTTTTACGCACATTTGTGATCTCAAGGTCGAATGTTATAGATGAACTTTGGGACTTACGGCACAATGAACTAAAACGTTTCTGACAAAAAAAAGTACCTTAACAAGCTAATCTTTTTTAGTCATGTGAGTATATTTTACTGTCTGGTTCTATCTTTTTCTTGAAACCATTAAGCAATGTGCTTTACACTTGTTTAGGTATTATAATTATAACCTCGAAGAAAAAGGTACGCACTTATCGTGAGTCAACTTTGCTTGTGTGTATCCATTCCATTCAAGCCGTATTTGGTCTACTTGACCATAATTATTGAGATTAAGGTCTGAAATTTACGTCAAATCCGTTTTGTGGTACTCTTGTATTCATTCACTTCACACACTGATGAATAACGCGTGTATGGTTTGACTTTTCTCTATTTCATATCTATGTACAGTGACCAGTCGTACTTATAAGTGTGGATACCTGAATCGTTTCCACCCTTTAGAGGACGAAAAGCTATTAATGTAAGAAGCGATTCAATTCTTACCACATTCAAAAGATGCTGGGAGCCTAACTCCAAAAGACTTTATATATTTTGTTGTTCGAGTGAGATACCACTAATCAAGGGAGCGATGGGCTTTCCGTGGGTTTCCCACAATAAAGTAAACGGTGACTGCGTTGGTAACATCAGTACGGTGGGAGAAGTATGTATCAGTGTAGTACGAGCTATTACGGAACAAATATGCGACTGTGAAATATGAAAAATAGAAATCTCCCTTAAAACAAACAAAAAGCTAAATACCACCGGATGTTAATTGTTCGGATTCTAAAGTAAATCCTAAAGACCTAGATAAAACCGTCATTGTTCCAAGTAGTCCGGATTTGGTTGCCCTGAGTAACGGGAAATGGGCAACAGTTCAGAAACAAAGAAGAGAAAGAAAAGAAGCCGCAAACAACATCTTTTGTTAACTGGTGCTCAAAGTCACAATAACACCGACATTCCAGTATGAAGTTATGTCTCCAGAAGACAAACTGAATTAGCTGAGGGAGAAATGCGTTGACAAAACGGTGAGGAACATCTCCTTTTAGTGTATTTACAGTGGTCATTTCCTGGAAGCCTATGCTACCAAGGCCTGTACGGAGTCCTATATAAAAGATTCATAGACTTGGAAATATATTCTATAACTTCGAATTATCGGTAAACTAATTGGAGTTACTCATCTCAGCCGTGACCGAAACTTAGTTAGTTCATGAATTTGGCGTCATCCCAGTATTATCGGGTTACAAATACCTTAAAAGTTATGGCAGTGGATGTAAGTAATGCGCTAGAGTCCTCACAAACATAGTTAACGACATAAACATGCGTTCCTTTACTTGTGAGTCTCATGATAATGGAACTTGTTAGGTCCTATAATGTGAACCCAATTATTAAGTTTGTACATTTTGATGAATGTCATTTATCATAGTTCAGTCTGCTTTGCTGATATCTTTATTTAACGGCACTTACAGCCATGGAGTAAAAATATTAGATGCCTGATATTTGAATGTTCTAATGCAAATGATATTAATTGGACGGATATGATCACCGTAGGATCTAAAAACTCTTTCGCTAACAGGCTTCTGATGACCGTAATAGGGCGTACTTTAGTACATCATGCATCCGAACCCATACGTTTTGGTTCAAAGATCTACATTAGAATTATAAGTCACTCATGCAACTGAAGTTACTGCCTATACAGATATTCTCCCACCGTAAGCAAGTAACGATCATGCTGTTTAGCCATTCATGTTTAGGGTTTGTGATTTAGTAAACAACCGAGTTAAACTTCTCCCAAATGTGTAAAGAGCAAAACATATCGGCTATCCAGTGGTGCACTGCAACAACGGACTGATCAGTCAATACCAGCTCAACAAATAAAGAAACCTGGTCCATATTTGAACGTATGTAGAACTATGGTCTACTATGATATTAGTACTGCTCTAATAATAGACCTAATCCTAAATTTGTAGATTCGTCATGATATAACTGCCTAATCTTTAAGATCTTACGTGGAAGTCACACCATCGACTACGCCAACTCACTGTATCGTATCAATTACCAATACATGATGAAGAACCAGCTTAGTTTAGAGAAGGAACAATATATTTAATATGAATAGAGACCACGCCTGCATGGCCGAGCCATGCCACTCGATCAACTCCAGTCCATTCAATTCATTGTTCGCGCCTTCTCCATTTTTAGGTATTTCCCCGAGTTAAATATTGAATATCTATTTTCTGAGTAGTCTCGTGTTCACAGCTTTGTGGATTGTGTGGCTATTGTCCAATGCCACTACACTACTCTCCCACCAGAATCAACGTGATGTTGGTTCGATACCAAATTGGATGGGATCGTCGCGCGCCGGAGGTTGCCAAGGATAATAAGAATCCTCCGGGTATTGGTAAGCTGAAAGATAAATCAAAAAGAAAGCGGCAGCATCTGGTCGGGAAATACATGTAATAATTTTAAAATATCTGCCTTCATGTTTAAAACGCTTGAAATGAAAATCTGGGTGAAGATTATTTAAGCTATAAAAAATGGGGTTACAATAATAATAATAATAAAACGATGCGTGTTAATAACTTAACTTATAGGCAGTAATTATTTTGTGTTTAGAAATATTAAAATAATGAATATTGTAGAAATGTTAATATTGGTATTAGTTTTGGTTTAAATTATGAAATCAAATAACGATTATGCCGGTAAGTTGTCCATATGAGTTGAATTCCAATTGCATCTGTATTAGTAGGCTAACTGAAGGAACAAAAGTATACCGTGGAGAAGAATTCCAACTAGTGTTCCAATTAGTTTGATACGGTTTATTTAGTTACGGGGAGATTTTCTCAACCTCATTTTTACTTGACCGTGATAGAATTTAGTAATACTACTAATACACATGAATGTTCATCAAAACAAAATTTAAATACGTGAGTGATGAGTATATGAATTTTGGACAGATAGCTAGGAACAAATCGTTAAACATTAGTGTATTCGTAAGAGACATGCTCTAGACTCAATGTTCTGATCTGTGGCAGACTATTTATTTGTATTTATACTTGCCGGCTGATTGGGCATACAAGTTAGTTGCAAGTATGCAGTTTATTATAAGGCGGAATACGATTTAATTGAGATATAGTGGTTATAAGTTATTAAAATCAGTTAAGCCTATGGGTCATATTACGAAGTGATGTGGTGCTGCAAGATGTATTTAGCTAAATAAGTTTTTACAAGATGATTAATAGTGAGTGATGCTCATGTGATTATCAGAGAGAACATAAGTTGTAACCAAGGGGAGTACACTCCCAACTCATGTCTATGATAATGGCTTGAACCTTAGTCAGTGTTGGGGTAAATTCGACATTGATGTTTTCAGTTTGCAGGAGATTTGCTCGACTGCTTATACTGATTATTTGCATGCATGATTGTGTCGCTAAACCATCAATTAGACTGACAAGGTTTTGAGATATTTACTGAATGAGCAACTGATAGAGAAACATACTGTAATCATCTGTGATGGATGAAGATACCAAGAAAACAACACCATTTAATAGTAATTATAAGTCAATTTGTTGACCGATTTCGTTAATAGTCTCATTAATTTTATCAGTCATATTACGTGATTGTCAAGTTATGACAATGCTTTATGACGATATCCTGAAACTATTAAATTTAACTAGTTATAGTGTTGATTAAGGATTAGTCAGTGCAAAAATAGGTATTGTTGCTTTAGGTGATTTAAAATCATCAGATATTTACAACGTTAAAGAATCCGAGACGCCTAATTTAATTATAAATTTCAATTCAGAAATATTCGTTTAGCGTTAATTCTAGTAGGCTACGGAGTTTTGATTTTAAACGTTTGTTTAGCTAACAGCTACCTGAGGATTTAGTTATTTTACTAGTGCAGTTGATAGTACCTAAATTTTTAATCTTATTATCTAAACTATGTTCGCATTTTAGGCTGCTAATATGATAAACCAATCCATAAACCCAAATACGATTAGCAACAACGACTATGATGGGTTTATTGATAAATGTTAAAGGCGATCCAGATGATTTCTAAATTCATAAGACATGGAGATACAGTGTAACGTATGTATGGGCCAGGTTAACATGCAGGTTGTTGACGTATATAAAAATTTAAAAATAATGAACATGACCAGAAAATAATTTCAAAGTTTAGACTGCTTGTGAAACTTCAGGCAGGAATATGATGCGTTATAAACATTCCATAAGGATTTACTGCATTTAGCCTAGGGACACTTACAAATATATAGCAAAAGGAACCGGAAAACATATACATGTTAAGTAAAAAAAAAATCATCCAGTAAAATAGTTGAACTCGCCTGGATTATTTTTGAAAATTAGATTATTCAGTGGACGACATATATAACGCCATTCGTGAGGAGTAGTAATGGTAGCATAGCATCCAGAATAAAACATACAGTATGGCAATCACTTCCAGGGTGCTTGATGCTGTTGAGGTCTTTGGGACTCGCTCTGATCAGAACAACTGAATGAATCCAGATAATTGTGTGTGCCATCTAAAATGAACTTATGATTGCAGAAAACTTATAGCTGGAACTCACCGTATGTTTTTGGAGTAGTCATCCTCGTTGTTTGGCAATGGAACTCGAGAATATGAAATTAGGCAGGCAGTGGTCAGAAGAAAAGATATTACAGGATAGTGCATCGTTTAAAACAGGATGAGGTAATAAGATAAGGAACACTGAATATTAGATCCAGATAACTATTTAGTCCTTGATCGCATTGTTAGTCAATGTATATTTACGCTATTTACAGGTCATATTTGCTAGAGCTTGATGTTGCTGAAGCATGTATATGCTATTACAGCTTGTTAACAAATCATCAAAGCTAATTAGTTAATATAGACGACCAGTTTTTATTATCAATTGAGCTAGTTTGTCATGAGGACTAATCAATATAAC